ATCCGGCACGGTCCCTGGAGGAATGCGGTAGCGTTTGATTGTAGCCGACAATGTAGATGTGTGCTGTGATGTGTGTGTTTGAAGTTCTTACTTAGCTGCCATTCAACTAAACCACTCGTTTTTCAGTCAAGGAGTTTCTGGAGAAGGCTCGAGAGGACTTCAAACAGCGATGGGAGAATCCAGCTCAGGTGGGTCGTCGTTTTACTACTTCTTTCCGGACAGCTCTCTCGTACTTCACACTCGTTCCTCTTTCTCTTTTCGCTATTCTTTATTCTGTCTTTGTATGTGCATGTGGCACTTCCTTTCCGCTCTTCACACATATTTCTCTTCCCTTTGGAATTTCTGGAACGGGGGAAGCTCACCAAGAAACCCATGCTCTTCCATGTTTTCTGTATATGAAGTGAAACTCTGACCCTCAGCTTGAGAAGTCCCCGGAAAATCTCCTAGAAAGACTCGATAAACTCCTTGTTTCCTGGATTTGAACCCTGAGATCTCGGACGATTCAGCGCTCAGTATATCCTTCGGATCTCATTATCACGACCTAGCGGATTTACTCCGTCCAACGGGAGGTTGTTCTCCCGTCGTCGTGCAGGATGCATGTGGCAGCTATCGATCTGGCAGCGCTATTTTTATCCGTCCGGCATGCTAGCCGCAGCGCCACACACACACACTCGTCACGTAATTTCATACGTGAGAGTGTTCGAACCACCGCAATCGTCGACTAATTGGAAAAAAGCTTAGTGCGAGGCTTCATTAACACTTCAAGGCCAACGTAGCCGCCGGCCAGGGCCGCCCTGCCGGCTATTTGGACACGGGGGCCGTGTGCAGGGGCAATTCGATTGTTTTGGGGCGCTGCGTTTTGCAAGCTAAACGCGAATACTTTTTTGAGGGGGGACCTTTCCTGCCGTCCTTTCTCCGGCAAAGGTCCAAATGGAATGGTGCTTGCCAGGTGAATTGCAGGCGTTTAGTGTGAATGGAGGGGCTGGAGGGGCTGGAGGGCGCTCATGTACTTAGGAAGGAGACATTCAGAACGAACATTCAAAAACCGCTGGTAGATGGCACCGGTCTAAACCCCGGGTTGGGAATATTATCATCATTTGAAAATGGGTTGCTATCCCACATCCTTCTTTCGCCAAACTTTTCCCTTCCCCTTAAGGCTCAGTCCCAAGTTTTTCATCGGCTCACTCTCACGCCCCTAAGGACATGACGGCTGGAGCTTCTGGTTAGGCCACGTTAACATGTGCTACCGCAATATACGGGGGCACTGTGATGGTAATGCATCGAAAACCGCGTACAATATGCCTTTGTAGTTGTTGTTGAAAACAGGACTAAGCCCTAGACGGGGTGGACAGACTCCAAAGTACTGACATGAGCCATTTCCATTTCCCCCGGAGCTCCTGCCTCGTCATAGGTTCGGCCTTAAGAGGATGCCCCCGTATATTGCTATAGCGCCCAAATATTCTTTTTCATCTATTGAAGGCTGCGAACAAAATTACGTGGGATACGGGGGCTGTTGGCTGGCCGGGGCTCGCCATCATCTAGCCGTAGTCGTTCTGTGAGGGGACTGCGTTTGGGTGCAAAGTTGGGACCTTCGCCCACGTCGTGGAGAGTTCGCGTAAGTGCTGCTGTCCAAGTAAAGTAATTACTTCACCCATCCCTGTAAACACTGAGAATCAGCCAATTCGTCACCATTCCCTCGCGCTAAGTTCCTGTTACTAAATTAGTTGCCAGGACAGGGCGAAAACAGTGACGGCGCGTCGATGAGTGCGCTATGTTTTGGCTTCACCCTACCCTACCGAATACGGAAATAACAACAGGAACACATCGTCGAGACGAAGTTCGAGTGAGTCAGGGAGCACCGGAACTAACCAGCTGGCACAATACAGTATCCTCAGACTATCAGGCATGAGCTTCTGTCTCACCTGACGCTCACTTGTCCCATGTGGGGGAATTTGTCCCAAATTGAGACAGCCGTCGACTACGCCGTCTTCCGCAGACGGTGACTGGCCGTGCGCGACGTCCTCTGTGTTGACAGCGCGACGCGGAGCGCGAAGAGAGAATGAATTTAACGGCGCTCGCTTGCACTACAAACAAATTGAGGAAATATAGAACGATTCGCATAATCCCGCGCCAGCCTACCCCCCCCCCCCTCCACTCCCGTCTAGACCAATTGAATTTCATCAACACCTATTCCTGTTACTTATATGTAAAGGGCATCTACCTGCAGGTGGTGGTTTTAATGTCTGAATACGCCTATTTATAGTCTTCTTACGTGCGTTGTTTTTGCCTTGGGCAACCATTACCGTCCCCAGTTTAGCAATATTTTCATGTTACCCATTTAAGTATGATGATTGCCGGTCTCAACATGCGCGCGGGCTATAAATAGAAATCGTCGGCACTCTCCCACGTGTATTGTGCCTACAAAAGAGCCGGTTTGCCTGCTTGTCTCGTGTTTCCGCGCTTCGCCGGGAACCCTCTCTGCGTTGCCCTGTCCCAACTCTCCGCACCTACCGTACTCTCAGCTGTCGCTCTGCTCCATCTGCATCCCCGCTATCGGCGCGCTATCCGCTCGGTCATGGCTGTTCGTCCACATTCGCCACGCTCTTTCTCGTCACTCTGATCGCCCGGCGTCTCTGATGGCAAAAGCCCTAGTCTCCACCCCTCATCGCTCCATTCTGAAATTTTCTGTTCCCTGTAGCCATCATATCATCGAACAAGCTGTTGTCCCTAGTATCCAAGCCGATCGAAGGCCCGAATGCCTTGGCGATTGGGCATCGCAACGAAGTGTCTCAACGTCGACATCGTGCGATTCGTCTCCTCAACAGGAAATACATCCCCTATTCCGATGTAACCCGCTCAGACCAACCGACATATCCTCACCGTCTACCTCTAAAGTCACATTCCCTCTTACCCGAACGACAACCTTTCATGGAGGATTGAGCTCGGGCTTGGCCGTGAAAAAGCGTCGCTCCTCCAGCTCACCGGAGGAGTCGCGTTATCGCGAAAAGGTTCCCCATTTGGAGGAACGGACCTCCTATGCTCAATGCAAGGATCCCCTTTTGGAACCTTCAACGTCAGCTGGTCCCGTGTTCTATAATGACGATCCGCCAAGAATCACGTCGGGACGGAAAGACGTAAATCTGACTGCTGAATTATTCTGGTTGAAAACACAGCTGCTCGAGCTATTGGTTCGATGAAATGGCTCTTGCAAGAGTAGTCAGCAGTTTTCTCCCCATCTCTTTCTATCACACATTGATTTTTCACAAACAGCCGTCGATTGGCTCGTATTTCTTCATAGATCAGGCGATGTTTTCAACGTCCACCATCACCATCACCACCACGGGGGTATTGTTATTGCGGCAGTCTCGGGGCTATCAAAATTTGTACACGTTTCGATCGTACCCTGTGGCTTACCCCCGCCTTTACAGAGCGCGTAACGCCCGTACCCTTCCGTTTGATCCGAATCGATTAGCTACCCTACCTGCTCGGGGATTGATTCTTCGTGGAGACTTGTTCGGGTGTTCCGTCTGTGACATTGTGAATTTTATCGAATTATCGATCTTCGATGTTTCGGGCATCAATTAGTGGCGTGTAACGTTATGGCCTTTCGCCAGTCAACTCTTACGCCACATATTCGCCCAGAATCGCCGGGAAGTTGGGGCAACATGCCGTGGGTGCGCCCAAGTTGTTCCACAATGGAACATGGCGCTGGTTCCTACGTGACCTCTCTGTAAGCTCTCATTGATTGGCGCTGGCACGTGTAAAACTGTTTGTCAGCGGTTACCGTAACAGGGATTGGATGTGAGGCAAAAGTTTCGGACGGCTTCTCACTGTTGACATCTAACCCTAGTTTTTTTTTTTGTTACTGTAAATTGGGGTCATTTCTGCCTGCGAGGTGGTTACGAGGAAATGTTTGTCCTTTGACTAGTCGTTTTAAACAGGCACTAAATACATTATACGAAGTTATACGACACATTACCCTACCTCAAAACCTCCTCCCCTCTGACGTTGGGCGCAAGAAATACCCAGCGGCTCCCGGTTTTCCTGCGCAAATCACATTTCTTCGATTGCCATATCTGGTAGCCTCTGGGTTAGCAGATTCCTCAGATTTGGCACCAATTATAACCCGACCTGTAGACCGATATGCCCTCCCTGAATAGCGCGGTTTCCGAAAAAATTCCCCCGACTGTAACGAATCGAGAGAGCTGTTTGTACATTTCTTTTTCCATCGAAGATATTCAGCTGTACATTTTGGTTTTCATGTTCAGAACACCGCAACCCTCGATGATTTCGATCGTATCAAAACGCTGGGAACCGGCTCATTCGGGAGGGTGATGCTTGTGAAGCATAAATCATCTGGCAACTATTATGCAATGAAAATTTTAGATAAGCAAAAGGTGTGTTTATTGTTGTGTTTGTTTACAGATCGATCACTTGTTTGGCGCTGTTGAAAGAGTTGTTGTTGTTTACAGGTTGTGAAACTGAAACAAGTGGAGCATACGTTGAACGAGAAACGAATTCTTCAAGCGATCGATTTTCCGTTTCTCGTCAACATGCAGTACTCCTTTAAGGTAAGCTTTACCCTACTCCCTACCCCTTGTGCATTTTCGTTGGTTCTCGAATAGTCCATAGCGCTGTTCTGTCCCCTCATATTGCCCAGCCCAGTGTTGTCACATGAAAATATGCCCTTTTCCGTCAAAACATTAAAATGCTTTTCATACGCCCTTTTCATTAGTTTTGCTCTTTTCAATTTGGATTTCAAAGTACACTGAGGTATTTCACGGGGGAATGTCGGCTGTATAGGAAGGTGGCCAATTGGATCAATTCCCGTAGTCATGGTATGGATGGAATGGTCGCCAAGTCCAGAGCAGAGAGAGAGAAAGCGCGATAGGAAACGGCTTGTCGATCGGGGCTTCCGCTCCTTCGCTGCTTCTTCTCGTGTTTACTTTGCCGATGTATTGACAAACGGGTCAGGAATAGCCCATCACGATCACCAGTCGTCGTCTTTTCCTCGCACAGATATTTGTTATAGCTACTCGCAACTTAGTAGCAAATCGAATGGCTCGTAGCTCCGAGCTGGAACAAGTCATTTTTGTTTGTTCAGGCGCTGTCTTAAACCCTGTTAGATGTCCCCTTCCCCTCAACATAGCTCCCGCAAGGCTACTATCGCTCGTGGATGTGTTATTCGTTTTGCAAGACACGGCAGACACAGCGCTAAAAATAGCCCTCATTGAGATGCCATGGATCGACCAAGGCTTGATGCCGAGGCGCCGGGGCTAAAAATAGCGCCTTCAATCGTGGCTAGTTCCCCGCAAACAAGCCAACTCGACTAGAATGAGACACAGAGTCGCACGTGAGTGAAAGCATGCAAGGGACACCGTTTCGTGAAGGTTGTTCCTAATTGGGACAAGCGTACACGCACATAGGCGACTCGTAGAATCGGACTATGGAAAGCCACTTGAGTGGGGTTTTTACGACTCAAAAAGGCAGGTCCATAGGCGGCGCATGAATGGGGTAACGGAAGCGCTAGTGCTTGAGTACTCTCATGGAGATAATTTTAAACGCCCTAATGCCATTTATATCGGCTTGGAGGGGAAGAAATACTGAATTGGCCTTTTTGGGCTCATAATATTGGATAGAAATAACCATGCCTGATGAGCCCTCATCATTTCCGTTCAAGTCCTGGGCTCTATTCTGGTCGGGTGTATATCAGCTCACTTCCTCAGTTCAGTTCCCTTCAGACTAAGATAGCTCTGAGTTGCAGGCAGGGTCAACCCTATGCTGCCTACAAGTAGCAACGGGGGGTCGTATTTTGGTGAGTTTGTAGAAGGGGGGGGTCGTAAAAACTTGAAAAGTACAAAAAGTAGGCAACGATAGACTGACCCATGGTTTTGCAGTAGAAGCCTACGCTAAGTGGACCAGTGTAATCCTAACCCAAGGCTCCAGCAGAAGCCAATGTGTAAGCCTAAGCTTCAGGCTGAGCCTAGGCCTAAGCCTAACCATCGTCTTCAACCGTCGCACAGCTCTGGGGATCCGATCTGGGAAGAAAACTGAAGTTCTTCCATTTTTCTCACGGGGTCGGTGTGCAGCAGCACCGCCGACCGAGATTATGTACGGAGGCTTAGTTACCGAGGGTGAGAGTGTAGATGAAAGCCATACGTCAATTGTGTAGTCCTATGAGTAGCCTTCCAAACGGTGATGCGTAGATAGTGGGGTGGGGTCAATTGCGTAAGAGCTTCCAGATTCACCACTCAGCAAAACGATGAATTTCTTAGTCTCCAACGTTGACAGAACCCTAAAACCCACGGGGATGGTTCCAAACTGCGGCTTTGAGTATCGCCTCCATTCTGATGTGATGAAGACTGCGTTATTGACTGGAGTAGGGACGCAGAGTTTGAGGACCCATTCCCGGCCGGGAATTGCGCACACGGTCCCAGATCTCAGCGGTAGGGTCCATGAAAATGGATTAACGGGACTGTGTAAGGTTGAGAGCCGATTTTGATCACCACCAAGATTCGCCGCTTCCTCAGCTTCTCTCTAAAATCAGGCTTTGTACGCATGGATGTTTTTGCGAACCGTTCTCTTGTAGTTGAAACCCTGATAACTGACAGAGAACTAGCCGTCAAACTGGGCACTCATGGCCTTAGGGGGGGGGTGGGAAGACACATTCAAAACTGTAATAATGGTAGGTGACACTAGGACTAATTGTAAGCCCAATAACAAGGAGACGCCATGGAAAACACGACTTGCTCACATCCTTCTCAGGAATCACTCTTCCTCCATAAAGCTTAGTTCCGAGTACTGTGAGTGGCTCATTCACTTGAACGCCCCCCCCCCCCCAGCGACATGGGCGCCTAAAACTGACCCTCTATGTTGGTAGCGAAATCATCGCCCTACTAAATCGTCTGAATTTTTCTAATAGAGAAAGCGGAGCATTAGAGCAAGTCGATCCGTCTTGAGATGCGCCATGAATTCTTCATTTGTCAGGATTCGCGGATGCGTTTGAATGTTACCGCATTAGCTACACTGCGTACTGTTTCGTTCCCGCGCATCTTTTTTGCTACTTTTCAAAACATTATTTGTGATCTCCCGTGCAAGTCTAATCCAAAGCATGTGACCCGGGCGGATGAAAGGTTTAGTTGGACGGGATTGGATTAGAAGTAATTCCTGCGGCGCCACCTACTAGTCTGGGATTTACCTCACTCAGCGTAAATACAGCTATTTTCAGGATAACTCAAATCTCTACATGGTGCTCGAATTCATTTCCGGTGGTGAAATGTTTTCCCATTTACGTCGAATTGGACGGTTCGTTTAAAAATTGGCCTAATTTAGCACCACAGGTTATCTGTTGCGAGTCCTGGTTTAAAAGAGGTTTTTCAGTTTCTCCGAGCCACATTCACGGTTTTATGCGGCTCAGATAGTGCTCGCGTTCGAGTACTTACACTCTCTCGATTTAATTTATCGGGACCTGAAGCCAGAGAATCTGCTGATCGACAGTACGGGCTACCTGAAGGTTTGTCCCCGAATTCCTTCCCCGATGGCCTTTCGAACCCTCTCCATCGCATTCAACTCAGCTCACTTTTTTCAGATCACTGATTTCGGTTTTTGGCGGACAAAGGCGGGTTTCAAGAGTCGCACCTGGACCGTTGTGTGTACTACGAGTACTAGGCTCCAGAAGATGCATCCTTGCCAAGTAAGCGAATAGATGCTATTTTATAGGAGAATCGCCCTGGCACTAATCTTGATATTTTCAAGGGCTATAATAAAGCAGTAGATTGGTGGGCTCTTGGAGTGCTGATCTATGAGATGGCTGCCGGTTACCCGCCATTCTTCGCCGATCAACCTATTCAGATCTATGAGAAAATCGTTAGTGGCAAGGTGAGAATTTCGCAGCTCTCTTTTATTTAGCTATTTCTCCATGAGGAGCTTTGTTTTTTGTCACTGTAAACAGACAACACGCGGAAGTCTCAGCACACCCTAGATCGGGAACAACGCAGTCTCAGCACACCCTAGACGGGAGAATTTGGATTTTGAAGCAGTAGATTCGATATTTTATTGTTGCTCTGATCCAGGGTCAACCGTCGCTTTCGCAATTTCCCAAGACTATTGCGAACCCCTATCGCCACCATCAATCTTACAAGGCTTCCCCGAAACGACCCCCTGCCCCGTACACGGACCGCCACCCTCGCTATATTTGATGTTTCATGTATGTATAGCATATAGTATTCAATTCTGAGACCAGCCGTTACAGCTAAACTTCTCCCCAAACCCATCAGAAACAATCCACCTCTCGCCCACCACTCCCTGAACTTCCAGAAATGCGCCTCACCCCCCCCCCCCCCCGTTTGCACTTTGACACTTTTACCCAGCACAGCTAACCTTGCAACCTCAAATATGATATCTCTTCCCAAATACGACCCCCTCTTTCATATATTACGGACGAACGGTTCTCGCTGCATCTGCAATAACATAGTGTTCTTGTATGTAAGCAAACCTGAGTGGTCCAATGCTGTAAAGCTGGTTCTGAAAGGCTTGAAGCCGGGACAAATGTGAGTGGTGGACAGGGAATTTGGGAAGGCATTATTCTCCGTTCAGAAAAAGAGGTTGTTGAAAAGGGCGGGCGTGGGAAGAACTTTTGGCAGCCTTAGAAGAAGACATATCAAGCAAATCAAAAGAGAAAACATGTTTGGCAAGTAGTAAGTATGTGATAAGTTTTAAGGGGGAAAGAGGGGGGGGGTTGCAATGGAGCCGGTTAGGGTGTAGTACCTGAACGAAAGGAGGGAGCGGTTCCATGAAGTTCACACAGTGTCACCGTGTGTTGCGCAGTTGTCAAGGGGGGGGGGGGGCGTATTTTTGAAAATGGATGGGTTTTTGTCACGGAAGATGTGGTCGTTTTTAGCGGGCGTTTTCGTGCTTTTGTGGAAATCCGAAATAATTGACCACAAAGGGTTCAAAATTAGAGGATTTCCCGCTTCATTACGCAAACTCAAGTTTACCCTCCCCCTTCTTCCCTCCCGCTCCCGCTCGATGGCCGCTTTTGGGGGGAGGGGAGGTGGACGGAATTGGAGCCGCTCGACTGGTCTCAGAATCGATTACAGTAGAAGCGATGGTGGCGTGGGGGGTTGTCGGGGACTGGGAAAGGGGTCGTAAATGGGGGACTCCTCCGCTTTTGGCTAATGTAGTGATTTGTCGTATCGAGACTCCCTAAAGGAGGGGGAGGTACTCTTACAAAATGCTCTCTGCGAATTCTCTCACATCTGCTCTTTGACGGTTGCTGTTGTGTTCAAATGTTCCCACACTTTTTGATGTCTTTTCGAGTTCGTATCAAAATACTATGTTCTTTTTGGTGTTGATTATCGGGGCTAAATATCCGGCCTACATTTGAAATGGCAAAGCTGAGTTAACAGTTTGCTTACATGGCATGGCCATTTTCTAGTGACGTTCATGGCCCTTTTGTTCAGACAGGTACAATTTTGCTGACCAAAATACAAAATTTGATCTTGCGATGTGTAAAACGGTACACAATGCCTCAACTCGTTGCACTAAGCTTCCCTGGTGAAGCACAACAAAAAAAGCGATATCTGGGCAAACAATTACTCATTCGGTACTCGTTTGTATTTGATTGGTTGCAACAGCTTTGATTAGTTCTACATTTAAGACTGTTGAGTAGGGTAGGCGCTTGGATAAAAGGGCTTCAAAATCTGCCCAGAGTCGATCGTACGTTGCGTTTTCTCAAAGAGAGGATTCACATTTACGTTTCCCCGGAGGG